GAACTGTTTTAACTCACTACACTTCTGACATCAAATGTGTGGATTCTCCAAGCACCAATCAGATGCCCTACAATTCAATTCCAACACTAAACCTGGAGTTAGTTTCACAACCTGTAAGTTCAAGGCCTCAGTCCACAAGACTGCATCCACTTCAGGCACTAATCATGAGTCCACTGCCTTCTAGCTGACCACTTAAGAACCAGGGGCTCCCAGGTCTCCCCACCCCAGTCTGGATACTTTTCTAGAATGACTAACAGAACTCAAGGAAGTTCTTTACTCATTATTAATTTGTTTAAAAGGACACAACTCAGGAATAGCCAAATGGAAGACATGCAAAGGGCAAGGCATGCGGGACCATTCAGTTCAGCATTTCCATGCCCGAGCACCTCACCAGCCAGCAGTGTTAGGAAACTGGCGCTGTTGTAGCCAGATGGCAGCATGGCCCAGCTACCTGAGCCAGGCTCCACCCCCATCCTAATGGGATTCGCTGCTCCTGCTTCCCTGCCCGCCCTCAGGCTGTTAGACCCTCTGAGTGAGGATGCTAACACATCGAGAGGCACACCCCAAAGACTCAGAGTCCAGACCGGCTGATGCAAAAGCAAGAGGATTTATTCGGCATCTGCACAGACGGGCCTCCCGAACTCGGGAGTCCAGAGAGCGCCCCCAGCACAGAGCCACACGGTTTATATACCCGCAGTGACCAATCAAAAGCACTATAGCGTCCATGCACACAGCAGTCCAATCCGTGAGCTGATCATGTGAAAGGCATGCGCCTTCTGTCCAATCAGCGAGCTGATCATGTGAAAGGCATGCGTCCTCTATCCAATCAGCGAGCTGATCATGTGAAAGGCATGCGTCCTCTATCCAATCAGCGAGCTGATCATGTGAAAGGCATGCGTCCTCTATCCAATCAGCGAGCTGATCATATGAAAGGCATGTGTCCTCTATCCAATCAGTGAGCTGATCATGTGAAAGGCATGTGTCCTCCATCCAATCAGCTACGGGATCACATGGGAGGCATGCACCTCATCGCCATTTTGTTGTTTACTTCTTCAGCAGTTCCTTTCCCTGTCAGCGTCATCTTGTTCACCCTGAGGGGGATGACGTCTTGCTCCCTTCGATCCCCTGGAGGGAGAGCAGCGTCCCACTTCCCACACCGTTATCTGAGTATTAGGAGGCATACAAAATAGGTTAGGTCTTAGCACAGCCAGGCGCAAGTGTCTCAGCTAGCTAAGCATAGGGTCCCTTATTTTTATAGCTGCACCTAATTTTAGCTCTGGGGGAAAAAGTTTAGGGCTATAATTTTTAAACTTTAATTTTATTTGGGGCAAAGGTGACTTCTTGTTTATAATAGCGTTGGCTTAAGTCACTCCATCTTGGTTTGATTTTAAGGTTCTTCAAGGCAAAGTTTTAAAAGGGCCTGTTCCTGCACACCTGCTCTCTTGCCCCTTCTCTCTTGCTCTCTCTCGGTTCCTCTCTCTAGCCTCCTCCTCTGGTCTCTTGGCTCTGCTCTCCTCTCTCTTCTCTGCTCTCTCTTCTCTCCTTGCTAGCTCTTCTCCTCTCTGTCTCTCTCTCTTACAGTCTCCTTCTCTCTTTTTCCTTCGCCACCCCTTCACTCCAGTCTGTAGGGTGTTCCCCAATAAACCCTTTCCCTTACTCCGGTGTCCGGTGTGCTTTGCAACGGCTAACATTAAGATATAACAAGCAGCTCCCCACACCTAGTCATTTAGGTCATTTAGCGTGTTCACGATGGCTTTGTTACACAGGTCCAATTGATTAAACCATTAGCTACTAGTGATTTAGTAACCTTCTGGGAAGTGAAGATGGGGGCTGAAAGTTCCAACCCTCTAATCAGGCCGCAGTGTTCCTGCCTACTCGCCCCTATCCTGAAGCACCCCTCACCCCCAGAACTGGGGTCACTGGCCACCTCATTAGAGAACCAGAGACACTTGCATCACTTCAGAGATTCCAAAAGTTGTAAGAGCTTGGGATATCAAACAAGGACCAAGAGCATGTATTTCCTTATTTGTATTCCATCACAACTTGCTGCCATACCTCATGAGTCTCTTCATTTCACTTTAGAAACTGAGATTCAGCTCTCAGTGAAGTACACACTGAAAGCTAAAAACAATCACGAATCGGGGTGGGGTGCAGCCCTTTCCCAGGATCTGAAGAGAAGCAAGGGTTCACACGCTGGAGTTGGGTTTACGAGCTGCAACTGTCCTCTCTTTCTGAGGTTCTAGTATTTTATTATCTTTCTGTTAATTCCATTTCCTTTCTCTAATTTATCCAAGTTCACTATTCAGACAATTGCTTTTGTCTTCAAAATGTTGACCTGCCACATTTCTATCTTGAGTTAATTTGCATTTAGATAGCTTTAAAAAAATGTTTTTTGCCCATACATCTGTAGCCAATGGATTTTCAATTAGGCCCAAGACTATTCAATGGAAAAAGGGCAATCTCGTCTACAAACAGTGCTGGGACAACTGGATACCCACGAGAAAAGAATGAATTTGGACCCTGACCTCCCTGATTTAGGATGAATAGGCAGACAGCTACATAGGTCTGATGAGCTGGAAGTCCACAAGGCCCAAATGTAATTCTATCTTCCCACTTGTCCATCAAAATGCCCCTTCCCAGGATGCACCTGCTTCATCCTAAGTGGAATGCCATGAAAATATGGAAATTAAGCTCCAGGCAGAACTTGGGGAGGTATCACTAAATTCCTTGGGTGGCTTCACATCTATGGAGGTACCACCCTAACCACCTGCAACATCAAGGGAGGCAGCTTCTCACCATGGACCGTGGCTGGAGGTGCTGCACAGGTGCAGTCTCTTTTCCCTCTCTCACCCCTCCTGCCTTTGGGCAATTCTCTAGCCCACTGCCTGCTCGTGACACTCATGATAGATATTTCTCTGTTGTGAGGCAACTCATGCTCACGTGTGCCTGTGTGTTAATTTTCTCACCTTTTGAATAAATTCTGTTTTCACTTATTTACATTATACATGTCTGCACTGGAGGGCTTGTCTGTGCAAGGCAAGAGCCTGGACTAAGATCAATGCACACTTGTCCACATCAATATCATATACAAGCATTAACTTCAAATGGACCAACAACCCAAATAAAAACACTAAAGCTATAAAAGTCGTAGAAGAAAACATTTGGTGTTAAATCTTCAGACCTTGGATTCAACAGTGGAATCAATTTTTCAAGATATATTTATTTATTTGAAAGGCAGAGTTAGAGGGACGGGGGGAGGAAGAGAGAGAGAGGAGATAGATCTTCCATCTGCAACGGCTGGAGTTAGGCCAGTCCAAAGACAGGAGTCAGAACCTTCCTTCAGGTCTCCCACATGGGTGCAGGGGTCTAAGGACTTGTGCTATATTCCACTGCTTTTCCTAGGCAAACTAGCAGGAAACTGGATCGGAAGAGGAGCAGCCAGGACTTGAACTAGCACCCATATAGCATGGCGGCACTGCAGATGGCAACTTAACCCACGGCACCACAGTGCCAGTCTCAGTAGTGTAATCTTATAAAGAACACCCAATGTACAAGCAGCAAAAGAAAAAAATAGATAAACTGGACTTCACCAAATTAAATTCTTATTTTCATCGAAGGACATCAGAAAAAGACAACCTGTAGAATGTATTTGTAATGTGCACATCTGATGAGTCTAGTATCCAAAACATATAAAGAGCTCTTCTAAGCCAGAAAGACAAAAGCAAAAAAAAAAAAAAAAAAACCACTTAAAAATGGGAAGAGACTTGAATCTATATTTCTCTGAGGAATATATTCAAGTGGTCAACAAGCACATGTAGCGATACTCCAGCATCATTGATTACTAGGGAAATGCAAACCCCTACCAGAATGAGGAACCCCTTCATACCCACTAAGGTGCCTATAAGAACTGTAAAATGGAAAATAACAAGTGTTGGCGTGTATGTAGAGAAACTTTGGAACACTCACACATTGCTGGCAGGAATGTAAAGTGATTCGGTCACTGTGGAAATCATTTGGTGGTTCCTCAAAAAGTTAAACACTGAGTTACCACGTGATCTAGAAGTTCAACCCCCCAAAAATGACAACGTCAATCCTCAAATAGATGCACACACGTGCTTATAGCAGCATTCCTCGCAATCGCCAAAAGGTAGGAGCAGCCCAAATGCCCATCATTGGATAAATGATTGTATCCAATATATAAATGATCTTAATGTGTATCATTGTGTAAACAAACCACTGGATAGCTACAGCTATAACGGAATATCATTCAGTCATAAACAAAAGAATGAAGAGCTGATACAGGCTATAAAGACGGTGAACCCTGCCACCATGCTAAGTTAAGCCAGACCTAACGATCATCCATTGTTGGATTTCATTTGTACGAAATATCAAAACTAGCTAAACCTACTGGGACAGAAGCAGATTGATGGTTGCTGGGGGCTGGCTGGGAGGAGAGCGTTGGGAAGAAACTTCTTTACGCTTTCATTTTGGGGAGATGGGAGTGGGAGAGGAGGGGTAGAGATGATGGAAATGTTCTGGAACTAAGAGGCCACCACGGACAACATTGCCGTTTAATTATACACCTTAAAATGCTTAACGTTTACTGAACAGCACCTGTTTTTTTTATTTTTAAGTAAAGCTACTCAGACAACGCCCAATTATTGACACTCTCAACGCATCTCCCCCTGACCCCCGCAAGGGTCCTCCAATCCCGAAATCGCAGTCCCCAAGGTCAGGTAGCAACATCATTCCGGTTCAATTTCACCCACAGCTCCAGGAAACGTGGGTGCAGCTGCCATCAGACCATGAGTGCTCCCTCAAGGTGAGTTAAAGCCGTGACGAGGAAGTGACAGGAACCTAAAACTCGGAGAGTTCAGGGAGCCAATGCAGAAGGTCCTTGCCCAGTGGGGCCGGCCCGGTGCACGCAGCAGAGCAAGGACCGCCCAGGCCCCGCCGCGCCAGCGGCTCCGGGCGGCGCCAGCAGTGGAGGGAAGGCGACGTCAGCCGCGGGGCGGGGCCGGGCCGCGCCGGGGCGGGGCCTGCGAGGGTGCCGGCTCCGTGTCCGGCAACTGCGCGACTGGGCTGCGGCTCGTCGCCGAGGCAGGTGAGCGAGCGGGCGCTGCTCGGGTCAGGGGTGGAACCGCGACCCGCGAGCCGGGCCTCGCCCTCGGCTCCAGGGCTTCGGGCGGCGGCGGTCGTGGGGCCGAGCCGCTGCGCGCGCCGCGCTCCGGGCCTCTGGAGCGGGCGCGGGGGCAGGAAGGCAGCGCGCCCGGAAGTGGGGCCAGGAGCGGGCCCTGGGCGCATCCCCAGGCCGGGGCCTCTAAGGGGCCGTGCCCTCTCGCGCTCCGGAGCATTTAAAGGAACCGCGCACGTGGGTCTCGGAGGCTTGGGGGCTGGGACCTCACTTGCGCCCAGTCTGCTCGGCCAGCAGCCCTGGGCACCATCTGCGCAGAGGGGCGTGGGGGGGCGGGGGGAGCCGGCTTTGGTCACCAGCTGGAGCCGGCTGTTTTATCAGGCATTTGAAGCTGTGGGGAGGCGCCTGGAATCCAGCTTTTGGAGCCAAAAAGACCTGAAACCGAAGCCGGCCCCCACCCCCGAATTTTACTGATGAAGAGGCTGGGTCTGCAGAGCTAGAGTGACTGCCCTCAAGGTCGCCCAGGTAGGACCAGCGAAAGCAGGCTTAGTGTCCTGGCGCGCAGACCTTGGCTGGTTAGAGAACCTGTCCCCATCTGTTGGCTTGCTAAGTGTTCCTTCTCGCGGGTATGAACTGTTGATCGGTGAAGGAGCTGCGTCCCCACTTACAGACGAGGAGCCTGGGCATCCCCATCCAGATCCGCTGACCTCCCAGTGCACAGACTGGACTGTCCGGAGTCGTGATGCACGCAGACCCCGGCTTCTAGCGTGCATGCCCATGAGGTGGCCCGAGTCTGTTCGGTAGACACCTGAGCCTCGGAGGCGCTGAGCCAAGGCCGCAGGCAAGTAATTAAAGGCTCTGGATGAGCTGCAGCAGGTGTGTGAGCGCCAGCTCCCACAGGAGCTGGAGGAGCCGTGTCGGCAGCTGTGTTCCCTGGGCCCGGCGGGTGAAGGGGCAGGGGTCCAGCACGGGATCCTCTGGTTCCCCTGAGGCAGACAAGCCTGAGGTCCTGGGAGTGGCTCGCGGGAATGGTGCTGCTCGGTGAGCCGGATGTGGGTTTGTGTTTGGGGGAGAAACTGTGTGCATTGGTGTTGATGTGCCAAGTCTAGAGCCTGACATGTTCCCTGCTGCACACCTGGTGTGGGCTCTCCCCTGCCTTGACCTCTCTCGGCAACTGACCTTAGGAATGACATAATGTATCTTGTTTTATGAGTGGATCCTATAAGTCAAAATCTGTTCTGTACAGTGGTTAGCACAGTTGTGTTAAGAACTTAAGTACTTAGGCTAATCCTCCGCTTGCAGCACTGGTACTCGGGTTCTAGTCCCGGTTGGGGCACCGGATTCTGTCCCGGCTGCTCCTCTTCAAGTCCAGCTCTCTGCTGTGGCCCGGGAGGGCAGTGGAGGATGGCCCAGGTCCTTGGGCCTTGTACCCGCGTGGGAGACCAGGAGGAAGCACCTGGCTCCTGGCTTCAGATTGGCGCAGTGCCGGCCATAGTGGCCATTTGGGGGGTGAACCAACGGATGGAAGACCTTTCTCTCTGTCTCTCTCACTGTCTAACTCTGCCTGTCAAAAAAAAAAAAAAAAAAACTTAAGTAATGTGGTAGTTACTCCCCTTCTAGGGGAAGCTGAGGTTCCAGGGGTTAGGCAGCTGGTCTCTTTGTGTGGCTTCAGTGGTGACCACTAGGATTTGTACTTTGTCTTTCTTTTCTCTTTCTCTTTTTTTCTTCTAATTTTTTTAGTTTTTGTACAAAAAAAGGCTTCCCGTACGTACGCCTTGCTCGGGTGCTGTGCTGCTTGCCAAGAAATGTCTGTGGAGTCTCCATTAGGAAGTTTCTCTCAAACCAGAACAAAGTGTATTTTTTGTTTAAAAAAAAAAAAAAAAACCACAGTGTGCAGAACGTGCAGGTCATCTGCTTGTTTCTAGTAAAAACGTCTTTGGCTGTCTTTCAGATGTTGATTTCGTTTTGGGGGACTCACAAGGCAGCATGTGTTTCTGCGAGTGTGTCCACGTCCCCCCAGGCCTTCGCAGCGCGGGGAGGGTTTTAGGGACCCAGCGACAGGCTCTCTGCTCCTCCTGGGCTGTGAGCCTTGTGTAGTGAGTGTTAGCATCCGGGCTCAGAGATGCTCTGTCTCTCACCTGAATGTCTGGGGAGAAGAATTTCACGCGAGTCCTGAAGGGAGGCCAGACATCAGTGAGGGAGATCATTTCTTTGGTAGCCACTTCATTGACTGGGAGAAGGTGCTGCCTGCTCATCTTTACTACAATCCTAGAGCAGGGGGAAAGAAATTTAAAGGGAACTCAATTTTCTGCTTGTACCTACACCGGAAACCTCCTTTTATTTTGTGGTTTTTTGGTTTTTGTGTTTTTTTTTTCTTAAGATCTATTTATTTATATGAATGTCTGAGTTAGAGGGAAAGACAGAGAGGTCTCTTGCATCCACTGGTTCACTCCCCAGATGGTCGCGATGGCCAGGGCTAAGCCAGGCCAAAGCCAGGCGCTTCATCAGGGTCTCCCATGTGGATGACAGGAACCCACACACTTGGGCCCTCTTCCACTGCCTTTCCCAGGCCTTCAGCAAGGAGCTGGATCGGAAGTGGAGCTGCTTGGATGCAAATTGGCACCTCTGTGGGCTGCTGGTGTCACAGGTGGCGCCTTTACTACAATGCCAATGGCCCCACTCCTGACCTTTTAAAAACTAAAAGTAGTATCCGTCTACTCTAGAAAATGTGGCAATTTTCTTTAAAAGGTCATCCAGTAGCCCTCATCTCAGAGATCACCACTCTTCACATGCGTTTCTTCCCAGTGCTCTGCTCTATGGACATACAAATATTTATCTATTAAAATAGTAGAGAAAGGAAACTGGCTAAAGGTCTTGTATCGGATTTTCCTGTTAATGTCGTCGTTGAGCATGCTTGGAAAACCAAGTTGGAGTCCGGAGCATTGGAAAAGGCTTTCCTTATCTCCCTTTCCCACTGCGCAGCCTTCCTTGTGGGTTAGCTCAGGGAAGCAGGGCCCTCTCCTCCCCCAGGGAGCTACATGTCCCCCACAGCGGAAGGAGGGCAGGGTGGGCCCTGGCGGGTGCTGTGCAGTACAAGACAGCAGACTTGATTGGAGATTTCTAAGGTGGCAGGTGATCTGACAAGGAGTGATTAGGGGACATGACTGGACACTGGCCTGCCCGTGACAAAGGCACGTGCCTTGGAAGAGTGGCTGTGTTCCCGAGAATCCATGTGCTGTGCACTGTGGGCTGCCTGCGTGACTCTGGCCACTGTGTCTGTGACGTCGCAAGCGCTGGGTGGACAGGACTTGGCACGAGCTCCCTGAAGGCTGTTTGGAGATCCTGGAGTTGTTGGCTCTGGGTCATGGGGCCATGATGGACGGCTGTTGCCCCTTTGGGCATCTGTTTACTTAACTGCAAAGTCGAGTGCTGACTTGATGGCCTTGAGGTCCTTGCCAGCTCTGACACCATCCTGTGGAAGTCCCCTTCATTTGTTGAATGTTCACATGTGCCCTGGGGCTGAATGAACACAAGATCTCTGCCTGTGGCCTGACCTTTGAAGCCAGCTGGTGCCTGGTGGTTTAGCAGGTCTGTGACTTGGCAGGAAGGGACCTCAGGAGGCTCCCCATATTCCCCTCACTGTCCCCTCTGTGTTCCCTCGCCGTTATAACTACTATTTATTGAACACTTACTACGTGCCCAACAGTGCACCTGTTATCTCGTTTTTATGGTGATCTTGTGCACTGTGTTGATTCAGCTTTTCACGGAGGAGCAAATGGACCCAGTCAGATTAGGTTGTCCGAGGCTGTGCAGCCAGGGAATACACCCGTGAGGCTCTGATCCCATAGCTGGCTGATTTGAACCCTGCCAGTCTCGAAAGTGTCTGCCTTTGACTGCTGGCTTCCTGCTTCTCATTTAAGACAAAAAAGTCTGGGACCTACTTGTGGGTGGGGTGTGTTAGTGGCCTCCCTTTGCCCCTTTTTCCCAGGCTGCTTTAAGAAGTGAGAGAAGTCTGCCTGGGCCCTGGGCATTTGTAAGTAGGCAAGGCCCAGTGCAGGAGATCTAGGGCCAGGGCCAAGGCTCAGGGGCCCAGCAGAGGGTCTGTGGGGCCCATGGTCTGGCTGGGTAGTACCACAGGGCCTCTGGGATTCACTGCCCAGTGTAGGGAAGAACTTCACAGAAAGTGGTGTGTGTTGGGATATGGGCTGAGGCAGTTGGGAGTGGTTACCAAAGAACATGGTGAGGCGTCCAGGGCTGGGGCAGAAAGGTGGGCAGGGAAGCCATGGGCATGTCCAGTATCATCTGACCTTAGCAAACCCTTTGTTTGTATGGGGGACACCTGGGAGTCCCCAGAACCAGGAGAGCACTGTGCAGGAGCCCTGTGACCCTGGAGAGATGCCTACTGAAAACCTGCACTGCCACCTTTGAAACCAGGAGCGTTGCTCAGAGACCAGGTGTCTGGGAGCCAGGCCTTTCCACGCGTTCCCAAGTGTTTACGTGGAGGACAGTAATTCCCAATTTGTTTTGGAACTGTCTTTTTCTATGAGACGCTAGGATTTGCTTTAGCCCTGAAACCTGTTTCCTGCCTGGGTCCGTTTTCATTTCTCTTTCACGAAAAGCAGGTCAAGCGAATTGGGTCACCGGGTTTCCCAAATCATTGCAGAAACTGCTGGACACAAGCATGGCTGGGGCAAGTCTCTGGGTGAGACTCCCGTGGTTTGGCTAATTCAGCATTTCCGTCCCGTTCGACTGAAGAATGGGGAAGAGTGCTGGCTTCCCTGCATGTTGGATTTGCTTCCTGATGCAAGGCAGCTTCCAGCTGTAACACTCTGTCCTGGGAAGGGCTTCTGTACGCTGGACAGCCTCAGCACGCTCCCCCAGCCTTTCCACGTTTCCCTGCTGCGCCATCAGAGGGGGAGAGCTGGTTGCAGTGTCGTTAATCTTGGGTGTTATTTGGCATCCGTGGCAGGAGCGTGGCCCAGCACTCCCTTCCCCCACCTGCCCAGGAGTCAGCCTCCCGCTGGAATTCTCTGCGTCACTGGCACTGGGACGTGGACAAACAACAGCAAGGTTGTTTATCTGCACGCATTTGGGTGGCGATTTTTCCCTCTGAGGATTTCAGCACTAGCAGGCCTCCGTACTGATTCAGGTGCCTTGCAAAACAGGCTCGTAGGAATTTCAGAGGGAAGCTGCCTTGTTTGCTTTCCAGAGCCGGGGGAATCAGATGCTGGAGAGAAATGTGGCAGCAGTGTCACTGGATCCCATCGGTCTCCCGGCCCAGTGAGTGGATTCAGGAAGGGCAGGGGTACGAATTAATCTGAATGTTAATGCTCAGTATTTCCCTTTGAAAACTTGGTAGCTTTAAAGATGAGACACAATCCATCTTTTTTAAAAAAGATTCACTTATTTATTTGAAGGCAGAGTTAGAGAGAGGCAGAGGCAGAGAGAGAGGTCATCCATCCGCTGGCCCACTCCCCAGATGGCCGCAGTGGCAGAGCTACGTGGATCCAAAGCCAGGAGCCAGGTGCTTCTTCCGGGTCTCCCACATGGGTGCAGGGGCCCAAGCACTTGGGCCATCTTCTGCTATCCCAGGCCATAGCAGAGAGCTGGATTGGAAGTGGAGTAGCTGGGACTCTAAACCGGCGCCCATATGGGATGCCGGCACTGTAGGCAGCGGCTTTTACCCACTGTGGCATAGCGCCAGCCTCACACAGTCCACCTTTATTATCGAAACTTTGAGGAATGCAGGAAAATGTTATGAAAGTAACATTCACCCACAATCTTACCATGAAAAGAGAAGCACCTTGAATGTGTTGGGTCAGGTCTTGCCAGTCCTTCATATACATACACTTTGTAAGCAATTCAGATGATTATGTGTTATATATTCTAGATTAACTTTGGAAGCAGACTTTTTATCTCTCACAGATGGAGATGCCCTGGTGTCTCCCTTATCTGGCATGTAATCTAAGACGGATGCCTGAGCCTATAGATGGTGCCAAACCCTATATATCCTTTTTTTTAAAAAAAAAAGATTTATTTATTTAAAAGTCAGAGTTAGAGAGCGGGAGAGACAGAGGGAGAACTTCCATCTGCTGGCTCACTCCTTGAGTGTCCACGATGGCCAGCACGGAGCCAGGCCAGAGCCAGGAGCTTCCTCTGGGTCTCCCGCGTGGGTGGCAGGGGTCCAAGCACTTGGGCCGTCTTCCACTGCTTTTCCCAGGACAAAAGCAAGGAGTTGGATTGAAAGTAGAGCAGCCAGGCATGAACAGGCACCCAGGTGGGATGCTGGCATTGCAGGCAGTGGCCTTACCCACTATGCCACAACACTAGCGCCTGTACTATTTTTTCTATACAAACATACTTATTGTGATAAAGTTTATCAACCACACACAATGATTAAAGATAATAATAATGAAATAGAACAGTTATAACAATAACAATAATCTATAATGAAAGCTATTGAAAACAAATTATTTCAAGAGCTGGGTATTTACCCACAGTTGACCAGGGGTAGGTACTACCACCCCAAAAAGCAGGACCGTGGATTTGAGGGGACTGCAGTGTCAGTGTGGGAGTCACACTTTTTGATCATGTTCATGTCTTTGGTTTTATAATTGTAAAAACTGCAACTCATTTTAATATTTTAGTTTTTTTGGTTTTTTGTTTGTTTTTTGACAGGCAGAGTTAGAGAGACAGAGATATTTTAGTGTTTTCTTAGGCAAATACTGAGAAGTAGCATTTAAGATCCAAAGGGACAAATGTTTCTAAGGCTTTTTTTAAAGATTTATTTATTTTTATTTATTTGAAAGAGCTACACAGGAGAGGCAGAGAGAGAGAATCTTCCATCCACTGGTTCACTCCCCAAATGGCCACAACAGTCAGAGCTGAGCTGATCTGAAGCCAGGAGCCAGGAGCTTCCTCCAGGTCTCCCACGTGGGTGCAGGGGCCCAAGCACTTGGCCCATCTTCTACTGCTTTCCCAGGCCACAGCAGAGAGCTGGATCTGAAGTGGAGTGGCTGGGACTTGAACTGGCACCCATATGGGATGCCAGCACTGCAGGCAGCAGCTTTACCTGCTGCACCACAGTGCTGGCCCCTGTTTTGAGACTTCTGATTTCCACTGCTTCCAGTTAAGTCAGTCTGGTTTGTCCCAGTGGTATTAGAGCCACTTTGTCCACTCCCTCCTCTGCAGTGGGCATTCTTTAGGGACTTTCACGGTAGAACAATCTTGCTCTCCACTTGCCTTTGGTTGCTCTCTGGCAGACATACAGTGTGCAAGAGAAGTGCTGTTCATTCCTTCACTCCCAGATTCAGAAGTTAGGCAGTGCAGAGCAGTGGGGATGTGAGCACGGGTGGGTGATGGGGCACCCACCTTCCTGGGTCAGGGCCTAGCCTTACACCTGAGATTACAAAGCAGGGACATCACTGACATCATAAATAAGAGTGTCAATTGTTAAATCAACAATGGGAGTGACTGTGCACTTGCCCCCCATGTAGGACCGCTGTCCTTGATGTGTTATGCTATGAGAATTATGGTCAACCTAGTCTTCAGCCAGTGCTTTATACTTTGTGTGGGTGCAAACTGTTGCAATCTTTACTTAGTATAGAGTTGGCCTTCTGTATATGAAGATAATTAAAAATGAATCTTAATGAAGAATGAGATGGGAGAGGGAGTAGGAGGTGGGATGGTTTGGGGGTCAGAGGGCGGGTATGGGAGGAAGAACCACTATAATCCAAAAGTTGTACTTGCAGTCCTGGGAGAATAAGTCGTAGGCAGCCCCCAGAGGCGTGGGCAGAACTGAAGGAGGGGAGCTGGGAACTTAACCACCGCTCCCCTGGAATGAAGCAAAGCTGACACAATAGAAAACAAAGTATGAAAAGAGCCCCCTGTAGTTTCACAGTCCATCTGAGACACTGCTCAAGATGGAGTATTGTCAGCCAGCTGCTTGCTCTGGGTACCTCTTCTAGGAGTGAGAGATTCAGCCTTGTGGACTGGGTAGGAAGGGGAACTCCTGGTGTTTGTTTAGCAATTGTCTGTGATGCCAGGCCTCATGAAGGAGGGCCTTAAGGTTTGTTTCTCTTTCTGTGGATGAAGGAACTAAAGCTAAGAACTTCCCCGGTCTGCAGCATGGGGGCTGTGGAGCTGTGTCTCCTGGAACTGGGCCTTGTTGGGTGGACTGTCTGTTCCCAGGGCTGGCCACCAAGGATCAGAACTGCCCTCTTGTGGCCCTGGGCCAAGCCTGGGTGCCCAGCAGGTCAGCCCCACCCACCTGGGGATGCCCCCAGTTGGCATACTCCCTTTAAACCTCATTTTCCTCACATCCTTCTCCTGATCAGAGACCCTTTCTGGCTGCCCTCTGCTGAGTTAAAGGCCTGTTCCTCAGCCAGCTGCCCAGACCCCTCCCAGGGGTGGTCCACCTGCCCCTGCAGCCATGTCTCCTGCTCAGCCCGCCAGGTCCCCCACTTCAGCCACATCGCAGTGCTGGATTGTCAGGGCAGGCCTTGTTAGGGCCCCGTGGCATAAATCTAAGTGGTCACATCTGCAGAGTGACTCACTTTGATCTCTGCCTGCAGAATTCCCCATCTCCAAGGCCCATTGCGTGCCCCTCCTGCTCCCTGAGACCCGAGACACCCAGGCCCAGTCAACGGCCTCTGAACGCCCGTGGAGCAGATGCTCACGGCCTCCCTCCCGGCATGGCTGGGCCTTTGCCTTCTGCCCCGTTGCTCCTGTTCTTGTCCTGTGGGTCCCAGACACAAGGGTCCTGAGGCTGGGGAGCTGACTGATTTGGAACTCCTGTGAGATCGATGGGCAGCCTCTTGCCCTAGGCGTGGGTCAGGGAGGTGGACAGAGGCTACAGCGACTCTCCCTGGGGGAGCCTCCGGTGGTCTCTGTCTTCCGGAAAGCAGAGGCAGCCGCAGGCACTGGGCCTCCTTGCTGGGGGGCGCTGTCTGCTCCCTTTGGGGCGGGCAGCAGTTCCAGGCGCGACTTCCTCAGAGATGCTTGCAGCAGAGAGCAGGCCTGAGTCTGCTCCCAGCGCCGTGCAGCGCAGCTATGAGGATCTCTGGGAGGTTGCCCGTCAGCCCCGGACCCCTGCAGGATGGGTTGGGGACAGTGGGATCCACCACGGGTTGTCTGAAGCTCTTCACAGTCCCCAAAGCATCTTGGAATGTGGGTTTGAGGCTGCACCGGGTTCGTCACGGTGCTTCAGCCACTGCGTGGAGGGCTCGTTCGGGCCACGCAGCTGTCTGGGACAGGGGCAGGTTCCCTTCCTCTGTGGCCCCCTCGGGGCCCGCCATCAGGGACGCTTTCCCACCCCGCACACTTGCTCCTGTGCCTTTGCTCTTTTGTCCCCCACATCAGTTCCCACCTTAAGTTAGCCCTCACTTCCGGCTGCCACCCCCCCCCCCAACAGTAGTCTGGGGGAGGGAGCGGGGATCCCCTTCACCTTGTGCTCAGCAGTCAGACTGATGTTTGTAAACACAGATCTGTGCAGCCCGGTTGTGTTTGTCCTCGGAGGTGATGGACCTTGGCCACAGCCGGCTCAGTCCTGGCCCATCTCTCAGCCCTCTGCCCAGCCACCCGGAACAGCCTGGCTCCACCCAGTGTTAGTGCCTCCAGAAAACATTCATGGGCTCTGAGCTTTGGTCCCTTCTTGGTGTTTCTGTACCTACCCGAGATTACATCACCTGCTACTTGGATGGATTTTGTTTTGAGTTGTTAGGACAAAGGTGTTTCTTAGTCCTCTGCATATCCCCAGAGCCCACCATGATCTGTGTCACACAGCAGGTGCTCTGCGGGTGTTTGCTGATTGAATGAATGAACGAGCGCTCTGACAGGAGTGGCCCCAACTTCTCCGGATGGGTGTTTTGCCCCCTTTGGCACTAGTCTCTTGGGGGTGTTCCCAGACAAGGCCAGTATAGCCTTGGGGCAGTCCTTGGGGACTCCAGCTTTGCAAGTCAGTTGTGGGGCAGAACCTGTGTCCAGGTCTTCAAGCTGCCTCAAGGCACCCGCTGGGTCCTCTGCTGCCTTCATTCATGGGAAGATACAATGAGGCTCCTCTGCTGTCTCTTCCAGGTGCTGCCCGAGGGAGGGTCATGCTCACGTTCATGGCCTCTGACAGCGAGGAAGAAGTGTGCGATGAGCGGACATCCCTGATGTCAGCCGAGAGCCCCACACCACACTCCTGCCAGGAGGGCAGGCGGGGCCCCGAGGATGGAGAGGGTGCAACCCAGTGGGTAGGTCCCCTCGGCGGTCAGAAGGCTTGAAACAGGGCTCCCGGGGTCCTGTATCTCGCGGATGGAAGCCAGCCATTCCCAGAGCAGGAAGAAGGGGGAAGCCAAGGTGAGAACTGGCCACGGGGGTAGGCCGTCCATGCATTGGATCTCACAACTGCTGAGCTGTCTCACAGACCCCGCGTGTTCACAGTCTGAAGACTGACTTTGCAGTGGGCTGGACAGTGCTCTCCACCTCTGCCCCTTAGGTGTCCCTTCCGGGTGCAGGTCCCTGTTTCCACGGTCACACAAATGCCAGTTCAGGTGTCTGGATGGCAGGACAGGTAACACTGGTGGCAGGAGGAAAGGCTGCTGAAGGCCGCCGACCCAGTAACCAGGCGATGAGTCTGCCTGTGACCTTGAGCTGGGCTTAGCGGGCTGCACTGCGATCTTAGTCTGCAGCCCCCAGGGCAGAGGTGAGGCCTGCCTGGGAGAAGCACTTAGCTGTGCCAGCTCCCTCCACATTAGGGCACAACAGCATCTGAATTTGCCCACATCCCACTTCCTGCTGTGTCTCTCATAGTAATTGAAGGCCTTACAGTGGCCTTTATTTTGCAGTTGGCCTTGATTTCCACCACCCACCTTGGTGGTGTTCATCAGAGCAGAGCTGGGCAAGAAACCCACCAGCTCAGGCCTCCTGTTTCAGCCCTCTGCTGTCTCCTCCTTGTATCCCCCAGTGTTTGTGTAGGTTTCAGATGTTCAGGTTCCTATGGGGGAAGAGCCCCTTCCTCTCTGCTGGGAACTGTCTCTGCAAAGAACTGACACTTGAACAACTTTGTTTTAAACATTTGTTTCATTTGACTCTTGGGCTTTTAACCTAATGAACAAAAGCAGCTGATGACACTGAATTGCTAGTTCCAAAACAGAAGGTCTGGAAGGTCCCTCAGAGCCAGCCTCAGGCAGGTGCCCTGACCTACCTTTCGCGAACCCACTGAGGGCCCCCCTCCACGCCCCGCCTCGCCCAGTTCAGAGATGCAAATTTGCTTGATTTTGTGGGGCCAAAATATAATTTCTGCTTCTGCAAATCCCCACAGTCTTACCATCAGAGTCCCCTGTGTGAGCTGCCGTGTTCTCTCTGCCACCCGGCCTGTGTCCTCCCAGAGCAGTGTGGCTGTGCAGACGGACTTGAGTGGCGTCCTGAGTCCCTCTTCCCAGGAAGAGAACCGTCTTTCGATGGGTTCCAGGTTCCAGGGTCACTAGCCACTGAGGCCCGTGCTGGCTTCCCTTGCTTCTCTAGGGGTGGTTAATCCAGCCCTGAGCCTTCCCCGCTGTTGTCTCCAGAGGCTTTTCATATCCCACGCCTAAGCTACGGCTCAGAGAGCTGCTCAGGCCCGGGAAGCAGCACTGAGACATCCCAGTGCCAGTTCTGTGAACCCACGTGCCATACGCGTCGGCCACCACAGGGGCACCGCGTGGCCCTCATGAAGTGGTTTCCCACAGGGAAACCAGGACAGTGAGGAGGACTGTGAGGAAGACCCCGATCCCTACGCCTGCAGTGGGACTCCCGGGCGGCCACCGGGCCTGGAGGAGGAGCTGACCCTCAAATATGGAGCCAAGCACGTGATCATGCTGTTTGTGCCGGTCACGCTCTGCATGGTCGTGGTGGTGGCCACCATCAAGTCCGTGCGCTTCTACACGGAGAAGAACGGACAGCTGTGAGTTGGGGCCAGGGAGGGGTGTGAGGCTGGCTTTGGTCATGTGCAGACTGTGTTGGCCACTGCCCCCGCCACTCCCTAGCAGTGGGAGTGAGGAACAGGGATGAGTTGTTGCCCTGGTTCACAACCTGGCCTGCTGCCACCTGCCTGGGCCCATTCCTAACTTCCCTGCCGTGAGTGGGTTGAGCACTCAGCCCACTGGATTGACCGTGGAGGCCATCTGCAGCTGAGCAGCACTGGGGCCAGTCGGGGATTCGGAGCAGCCCGGGCGAAGTGCTGGGAGGGCTTAGCCTGGGGACGAGTGAGCCATCAGTGAACAGCTTCCTGCTCTTGAAGTTGCTGAGCCGCAGATGCAGCAGCTGGGCTCCCCTGTGCGTGGGGAGGGGAAGCAGGGGTAGAGTCCACGGCTGCCTAGGCTGCTGGAGAGGTGTGGTGTGGGCAACTGCTGAGTCCAGCTGGGCAGAGAGAAGCCCCTGGTGGGGGTGGCAGTGAGGGTACTTAATCCAGGTACCCCTCAGCCCACTGCTATCTTGGCTCCATCAGCAAGCTGAGAGCCACAGGTATCCAGGCAGGGCCAGGAAGCAGGCTGGGAGACAGGGACTGCCTCTGACGGGCACCGCCAGGGCCCAGCCAACACAAGAGCCAGGCACCCCCACAGGGGGGGTCGGGGGTTGGGGAATGCACATGGTGGGGCATCAGGGACCAAGAGCCTCAGCCCCGGCCTCCCCCTCAGCATCTACACCCCCTTCACCGAGGACACGCCTTCGGTGGGCCAGCGCCTCCTGAACTCCGTACTGAACACCCTCATCATGATCAGCGTCATCGTCGTCATGACCATCTTCCTGGTGGTGCTCTACAAGTACCGCTGCTACAAGGTGAGGCCCAAGTTTTCCCTCCCGTCCGCCCGTGCCCCTGCACTCCCCGCCCCCCACACCACCCGGAGGGCCCTTCACAAGGGTCCCCGCACCCACCCTGAGGGCCCTGCACACAGCGTCCCATCCTCCACCCTCACCCCCACCCGGAGGGCCCTTCACACAGCATCCTTCCTGGTGGTTTGTGTTCCCACAGAGGTAACTGACTTGGTATCCTTCCCCCAACCCAGCCAGGTCCAAGAGTTGGGGACTAACTAATACTGTTGCCTTTTAAACGCAGATGTAATCTCCCCTTATTGAGTTCCTCATGGCCACATTCCAGGCACCACTTCTCCTATTCAGACATGAAGTTTCTTTGCTTCCCCTTCTGAAATTCTATTTCAGACTCCCTTCACAAGCCTTTACTTCCCCTTCAGGTTATTTTTATTTTTCCATTTTCCCTTAAGACAGGGATGCACAGACGCTGTGCTTAGATCTCTGGGTGGAGGCACTGGATGGGGACCCAGCCCTAGCTGCCAAGCCACCCCAGGGAGTAGTAGAGGAGCCGAGTGCCACCTGGCTCCAGTCACCGGCAGGGCCTGTCCTCAGAGATGCCATAAGCCTGGAGACACTGGTCAAGGCCTTTCTTGCAAGGCAGACTTTGTAACCCTGAAACCTGAAAGGAAGGAAAGCTAGGCATTATCTGACTTAAACTGTCGGCACAGAGGTCCTGCACAGCACTTCCTGTGCAGGCAGCTGCTGTTCAGGGAGCAAATACGCCAGCGCTCAGGCTGGAGGCGTGAAACAGGAAAGGTGGGGTGAGAGCGGAGCCGCCCAGCCCAGGCTGACAGGGGCCAGGGAGTGGGAGGAGCTGTCAGAAATATCCCTGAACTGGAGCTTGTGGCTAAATTGTAGCTACCTGTGGAGGAGGGTAGCCGGTACGGGTGCGGAACAGGAGAGGCAGCACACATGAAAACAAGCTGGAAACAGGGCAGGGCATGGGGAGGCCCGTCCCGGGGTGCTCAGCGCGTGTCAGGCAGCCAGTCTGAGACCACAGAGGAGGCTCAGCCACCTGCTCAGTGAGGTGTGCTTAGAGGTGCCACGGCCCTCACGCAGGAGGTGACAGCCCAGTGGGCAGGTGGGCTGTGGGATGAAGAGAGCCTAGAGGAGGCCTCGTCCCCCTTCAGCTGTGTGTGTGGCACGGCCACTCCCTGTAGAGCCGGTCTCCGGGAGGGTCCTGGTGGGCCGAGCTTGGGGTCAGGCTGCTAGGGCGGGACAGCGCTGGCGAAGGGACTGCTGTAGGGACAGCCTCACTGTTGCCCTGGAGCCGAGAGAGGGGGAGCAGGTCTTCCTGAGAACCTGTTCACAGATTCCTGGGTGGGAGGGACCTCCTGAGCTGTCTCTACAGAAAAACAGCTCCCTAAGAGGCCTGCCGCGCCTTTTCTCTCCAAAACAGCGTTGGGTTGTTTCCTCTCTTCACCCGGTCAGCACGCTCTTTTTCAAAAACCCCCCCCCCCCCCCCCCCCCGCCAGAAGTCTTCGCTGCCGTGTGGCTCTCTGCTGACTCCTTCATGCTCGGATGCAACACCACAGGCAGAGACTTTGCCTGCGCTCTCTCCTGAGCCTGGAGCCGGCCTTTGGCCAGGAGGAGATGCCCATGTACCCTTTTCAAGTGCAGGAGAGTGGTGGCGAGAGCCCGGGCTGGGGACTCCAGCATATACTCACAGGGTGGCCTGAGACAACTTGCGTTTCGGGACCCTGACACCTTCCCACCTGGTCACAGAGGGGCCCACCTGGGAAGGACTTTGAGGCGCAGGCGTCCACCTCCTGATTGTCCTGTCTGGTCCTGTTGTCTAGTTCATCCACGGCTGGCTGATCATGTCCTCCTTGATGCTGCTGTTCCTCTTCACCTACATCTATCTCGGGTAAGGGCTGGCTGCTGAGCAGCACGGTGGGCCAAAGGACCTGGGCAGGGTCCCCCCTCCCACTCTCACTGGCTCCTGTCCTGCGCACCCTCCTGACCCAGGGCAGTAGGCACCCAGGGTTGGCCAGCCGCCTGTCTCTCCTGATGTAAAACAGAATTTCGTAGCAGAAGTTCTCTTGGATCCCGAGGGCATAGATGCCCCTCTCGATTTACATTCCAATGTTTAGGCTAGACCTGGGAACTTCACAGGGAAAAATGGGCTGTTGCATTGTCCTTTGGGATATGACCCTACTCCAGTGACCTTTCCCACATGCAGAGGGTCTCCAAGGTTGTGCCAGGGCACGTTTGTATGGATCATCCCTGGCATGAGTCATTGGTTTCCTCCTCACCTTGTTCCAAGAGGTGTTTCAGGGATTAGGTATTGGGCCAGTGGAAATGACGGGGTCGGGGTGGACATTCTGGAAAATGCCCCGGTCGAGACGTTGTGGTTGAGGAACAGAGGCGTTAGACCGTGCCAAGGCACATCATCCCCCCGAGCCTCCTGACCGCGGCTCCACCTTGGCTCTGCAGGGAGGTGCTCAAGACCTACAACGTGGCCATGGACTACCCGACTCTCTTCTTGACCGTCTGGAACTTCGGGGCGGTGGGCATGGTGTGCATCCACTGGAAGGGGCCCCTGGCGCTGCAGCAGGCCTACCTCATCATGATCAGCGCCCTCATGGCCTTGGTGTTCATCAAGTACCTCCCTGAATGGTCTGCCTGGGTCATCCTGGGTGCCATCTCTGTGTACGGTAGGCGGGCTTGGCGGAGGGCAGGAGGCCACATCCCAGGCCAGGTTCTTGCTGCTGCAAGAACTGAGGTGCTGAAAAGCCCACCTGAGGGGGCTGGAAGGGTCTCCTTTCTGGGGGACTTGCCTCTGTCAGACGTAGGGGCTCCTGTAGACTCAAAGCATCCTGAAACCCAGTGGTCGCTGACCGCTCATTTTCTGTTGTCACCGACATGCCCGGCAAGCAAGTGTGTTGTCACCCTCTTGAGGCACCACAAGGGGTTCATTTCTCGACATGACCCTGTCATTGAGCACTGTGTCTGTAGATACCCCAGATGGTGGCTGTGGCTCAGAGAGTAGGAGCACAGTCACCACTGGCCGGTGTTGTGACTTCTGTTTGGAGGACAAGGTTTTGGGGCTCAGAGAAATGGGACTTCCAAGCAGGTGCTCGGGGTCCCAGCACAAAGTTCTTCCTTGGTTGCAGTTAACTATTGAAGGGCCCTCCTCGGGCTCCAGCAGGTGCAAAGATGGGGATTAGAAATGGGTAGGTTTAGGATGCTAGCACTGTGGGAAGATGTGCTGGGAGCCTGACTCTGGGGCTCCTGATATCTCTGGGGGCGGCTTGGGAATAAATGTCTTTAAAAAAAAAAAAAAAAATGACAAGGACCTCCGTGTCTTCCCAGATCTTGTGGCTGTGCTGTGCCCCAAAGGGCCCCTGAGAATGCTGGTGGAGACGGCCCAGGAGAGGAATGAGCCCATATTTCCTGCCCTGATATACTCCTGTGAGTGGCCCCAGGCCTGCACCCAGCGGAGGGATTAGTAGGTGGCCTGCAGGGGGTGGGGCTACTCCTGGCCATGGCTTTCAGAGTTGTCTGGGGAAGTTTTCCCTTCCCAAAGCGGAAGAGTTGGCTTTGGTAATCCCAGAAGGGGCTCCATATTCAGACACCAAGGTAGGCTGACTGCTGTTAGTCCACAGGAAGAAGGTTAGAGCAGGAAGGGGACTCCTGGGGAATGTGTGTGGTGCGACCCCGTGTCTTCATCCCATCCATCCTCCTGGTCCCCACAGTGGCTGCAGGCTGTGCGTCCCTGTGAGCCCACAGCTGCTGGAGCCCTGAAACTGCCCCCTTAGGCTTTGGAGAGACTTCCAGGGTAGATTTTGACAGGAAGCTCCTGTTCTGCACTGGGCCTCCTTGACAGCAGCCTGGCTGATGGCCATTAATCATCTCCGAAGGGAAGGCACACAGGACTGCCCCTGGCCTCGGGGTCAGTGTGTGGGATTTGGATTTATACGTGCATTTGGTCAATGTTCATGAGGTCCCCACTTTGTGGCAGACAGCGTGGCACATCCTGGGGCATCCAGCAGGAAAAAGGACCACATACATGTCCTGGTTCCTGTGAAGCCTACAGTCCTGTTTGTGGTGCCACCCATCTGTTGGTGGTGAGATTTATTTAAGTAGAGAGCCTTGATTCTGGGGCTCTGGCATCTGCAGGGTGCGCTGGGCCGCTTCCCAGGTTGAGCAGAGCAAGTATGGAGAAACTGAGCCTACCTATGGAGAGTGACCATGCTGGTGGAGCTTACATCCTAGAGGGGAGATGAGCAGTGATGAAATAGCCTGCTACATATTATTAAGCGGTGGTCATCAAGGCTCTGCAGAAAAACAAGGCTGGGTCAGGACAAGGGCTTCAGGGCTGTAGGGGAAGCTACTCTGTATAAGGTGGTCCAGGAATCCCTCTCTTAGAAGGTGACATTTGACCAGGAGCCTGATTCAGGTAAGAAAGAACACCATGTAGAAATCTGAAGGCCAGCATTCCAAGCAGAGGGAACACCAGCATGTGCAAAGGCCCAGAGGTGGGCGTGGTCAGAGAAAGTAAAGAGAAAGGGAAGATTCAGATGGCGTTAGGCTCTGCAGGCCATGGTGCTGTCTTTGGCTCTTTATTCTTTTTTTTTAAAAGGCTTTTTTATTTGAAAGAGAGTTAACAGAGAGAAAGAAGTCTTCCATCCACTGGTTCACTCCCCAAATGGCCTAATGGCTAGGGCTACGGCAAGCCAAAGCCAGGAGCTTTTTCTGGGTCTCCTGTGTGGGTGGCAGGGACCCAAACATTTGGACTGTCTTTTGCTGCTTCCTCAGACTATTAAAAGAGAGCTGATGGGAAGTGGAGCACCTATATGGAATGCCGGCGTCGCAGGCAGCAGTTTAACCCACTACGCCACAACACGGGTCCTAGCTCTTTGTTCTGAGAGAGCTGTGAAGCCAGTAGTTTTTGCTCTGCTTTGACCTTACAATTTAACAGGATGACATCAGTTGCTGAGTGGAAGACAGACTGAATAGGGGACAGGAGTGGATGCAGGAGCTGAGTTTGAAGGTGGAATAGCAACAGGTGTGCAGTGCGGGGAGGGAGATAGTGGGAAGGTTGGGGTTTGAACCCAGGGACAGCAGTGGGCAGAGTGAGATGTAGTTGGATTCTGGAGACATTTTGGAAGCTAGACTTGTTGGTGGGGAGGGAGTAGATTGTGAGAGTCAAGGGTGACTTCAGTGTCTTGGGTCTGAGTTGCCGTTTACCGAGGGGAGGAGGTGGTGGCTAGGCAGGCTGCCGTGGGGATAGTTGTGAGTGTGTCTTGGGGTGTTTTTGAGTTTGCTGTTCAGGTGGAGAGTTGGACAGAGGCAGTAGTGGGGTCAGCAGCAGGTGTCCAGGCCAGGGAGGTAGCGCACCACTTAGCTAGCACCACACGACTCAGCAGCCCATCTTCTGGAGGAAGGACTCAGCTTATGGCCCAGCCACATTCTCAGCAGTGTTATTCCCACTAGCCAAGAGGTGCAAGCAAGCCGGTGGCCTGCGGCAGATGAGTGGGTAAAACAAAGGGCAGGCTATCCACACAGCGGAACATTACTCAGCCTTAGGAAGGAAGGGAATTCTCATGGGTGCTGCGGCTCGGATGATGCGTGAGGACACTGTTGCTAAGTAAAGTAAGCCAGTCACAAAAGGGCAGACACCAGATGGTTCTGTTTCTGTGCGGTTCCTAGAAGGGTCAGAATCATAGAAACAGAAGAAAGGTGGTTGCCAGGGACGGCAGGGAGGGGGATCGAGAGAGTCCCTGTGGTTTAATGGGTGCAGAGTTTCAGTTTTGAAACGTGGGGGAGTTCTGAGATCTGTGTCAGGACAAGGCGGCGACTCCGTTGGCCCTGCTGAGAGCAGCACTTAAAAACGGTTAGGCTGATGCAGTTGCACTAGGTGTTTCTTGTATGCGTCCACAGCAGCACAGCTAGCTCACCTGGTGGCTCTCACTTTCAGCGCCACGTCATTACAGCTATTCACAAGAAGGCACCGGAAGGGGAGCGACTCTGGCCATGAGTCTGGACCCCTCTCGTGGTCTCCTCACAGTGGGACATGAACAGATACGTGCAGCTTTGTGGGCACACAGATCAGCCCCTCGCCCCTAGATCCTGGAGGCAGCCACAGTGAGCCTGCCTGAAGCAGGACCCTTGTCTCCTTCCCGCAGCTGCCATGGTGTGGACAGTGGGCATGGCCAAGCTGGACCCCTCTTCCCAGGGAGCCCTGCAGCTCCCCTACGCGCCAGAGATGGGTGAGTGGGAACTGTCAGCCTCTCATCACCGGGGGGAAACCCCTCACCTGTACCCCCTGCCCAGCCTGATGTCTGTGGGAGGCTAGGTTCAGGAGGCAGAGGGCCGGGTCATCTGAAAGCCAGCGCTCCTGGACACAGCAGTATAGGCATGGCACACAGTTGGACGGCCCAGTGCCCATGTCTGATGAGCATGATTTGGGGGTGGGCATGGGGAGCCCTGAGGCCAGGCACTGGGGCTCTGGGAGGACCCCTCCTGAAACCTTGTTCCCCAGAGACCAAGGAGCCCTCTGACAACACTTCTACCTCTCTCCCTCTTGTCCCCCCTCAAACGGTGGTGGCCGTCCTCTGCCCCTGACTCCCAGAAGAAGACTCCTATGACAGCTTTGGGGAGCCCTCACACCCTGAAGTCTTGGAGCCCACGCTGCCTGGCTACCCCGGGGAGGAGCTGGAGGAAGAGGAAGAACGTAAGGTGCCCGTGGCCAACGGCCTGCTCTGGCCCTGGGTGGCGTGGGTTGGGGTGGCCCCTCCTGGAGGCCTGCAGTGGGGGAGGGCAGGCGGAAGGGCCCCTTTCCCCACTAGAGGCATTTTCCTGAGAGCCAAGGAGAAAGCTGCAAAGCTGGATTCTTGTCGCCAGGCCCTGGGGACTTGGCCAGCCAGGCCAACATGCATGTTTTTTTACCAGGCATGCACTGAGTAGCAATTGTGTGCTCGCACAGATGAGGCACCAACGCTAACCATGCACACCATGAGAGCGGGGAAGGGGGCTGGGAAGGAGCCCACGGGGTGCCGGAAAGCAGGAGATGCAGCCCGTGATTGGGCTGAGCCGTTCGAGGAGGGCACTTGCACACTGGGTCCCAAGGCTGACCACACGGTCACCAGAAGAGAGCAGGGCAGAGGGCTTTGTGGACAAGCAGAGACTCCAAAGAGGACAGCAGGGGAGCTGGGGGTCAAGTGGAACCCAGAGGGCAGGAGAGGCCGGGAGGCTGGTAAAGGCTCAGACCCATGTAGGTCAAGGTGAGGACTCAGGTGTTGACCTGAGGAGCAGGGGGAGCCATCGTAGGGTTTTGAGCTTGTGGATGGAGACACGATGGGGGGTGGGGGGAGTGAGGTTGCAGCTGTGGAAAATTCCACCTGCACATGTGCCCTGGCATGGCCTCTAGAACCTGGTCCCCATGTGGCTGAGGGGACGCAGCCACAGGCACTGTGGGGCTCAGAGGGCAGGCACGGGCCTGGCACCCTCTGCCTGGGGCTGATACTGGACAGGGGCAGAGGGCAGAGGTGGGGTGGTAGCTTCCCTGCTCAGAGACCAGTGTGACTGGGGAGATGGGAAGGGGCCGGGAACCAGGCCCAGAGACACATTGACACAGGGTTATTTCCCTAAGGGGTTAAAGTGTGTAGGTGCCATGCACTGTGTGCCAGAGAGCACCTGGGCAGGGAGATAAGATAGCGTAAATGCCGCCGTCTCTGCTCTGAGAAGTGCCGTGGGAGCAGCCAGGTATAGAATTCTCCAGTGACACGGGTGGCCGGGGTCGCGCTTGGCGGAAGGTCGGCCTGCAGTGGTTCTGGAAGGATGGGTAGGCCATCACCCAGCACCCAGGCCAGGTTAGGGGAAGGCATCCGTTCCAGTGGCAGCTGTGGTTCTGGGGGGTTAGCAGAGACCCCCCTGGTGGAAGAGCACAGTCCACATCCCTGGCCTCCCTTCACACACCAGCCACAAGCTCTGGCCGCTTCAAGTTTGCAAGCTGCTGTATTCTGACCAAGTAGGCTCAAATTAGAGCGTTCCTGTGGCACCCTCAGGCTCAGTAACTCACTAGGCTGACTCCCAGGCTTCAGGTGAGCGCTGTGTGTACAGTTACAGTTCTGTTACCAGAGATACATGTGGGGCCAGCCTGGTGAAGAGGTAACGTGTGGCAAAGTCTGGATGGGCGCTGGCAGGCCAGGGTACCTCATCCCTCTGACACAGAGAAGTGGCCTCTGAGCTTCAGTGTCTGGTGCTTTTATTGGGATTCCGTTGTGTAAGCTTAATGATTGAGTCTTTGCCCTGAGAAGGGCCTTTATCTCCAGTCCCAAGAGGGCCGCTGGCTCCTAGCTCTAACCCTGTCTTTGCATAGTTTGTCTTGTAAACAGCCCCATCTGGGTTATCTCAGCATAAACTCAGGGGCTCATGAATAACAGACGCTCCTGTTCCTTGGGAAATTCCAAGGATCTTGATTCCCTCCCAGTAACCATGTTCAGATGAGCGACAGCAAGCCCTCAGCAAGCTCTGTGGCTGTGTGGCGAGGCAGCGGGTGTGGGGCATGGGGAGGGCCAGTGTTGGACATAGGGGTGCTGGCTTCATGGGATGGCTCCTGATGTGCCAGTGAGGGTTTGTAAACAGGAAAATCCAGTGAGCAAAGCTGCATCCCCTTCGTCGACCAGTAGTGGGTGCTGCGGTAGTCCAGGTGAGGGAGAGGACATACAAGAAGGTGGGTGGAGAGAGAGGAGAGTAGTAGTCGGCTGAGTGGGGGATCAGCACATCCCTCGGGTCAAAACCATGGGCCCCAAAGAGCAGCCAGGGAGGGCGCAGGGTCAGAATGTGAGGTCGGGATCATTTATAGACAAAGGGAAGGGTAGGGCACCCAAAGAGGACCCTGCAGTGTAGCCAGAGACAAAGGGTGCCAGACAGGCAGGTGTGTGTGAGGGCTGCAGGTGTCCCCTGGAAACTGCGTGGTCACTTGGACAGGGATTTGGTTGCAGGACATGGGACTCGGTGCCTCCAGGTTTCCTAAGTGGGAAGTGAGCACAAGAGTTTTTGAGGGCCTTCTTGAAAAAGAAGAGGGGGCCTGCGCCGCAGCTCACTAGGCTAATCCTCCGCCTTGTGGCGCCGGCACACCGGGTTCTAGTCCCGGTCGGGGCGCCGGTTCCTGGTCCCGGTTGCCCCTCTTCCAGGCCAGCTCTCTGCTGTGGCCAGGGAGTGCAGTGGAGGATGGCCCAAGTGCTTGGGCCCTGCACCCCATGGGAGACCAGGAGAAGCACCTGGCTCCTGCCATCTGATCAGCGCGGTGCGCCAGCCGCAGCACGCCGGCCGGGGCGGCCATTGGAGGGTGAATCAATGGCAAAAAGGAAGACCTTTCTCTCTGTCTCTCACTGTCCACTCTGCCTGTCAAAAAAAAAAAGGGGGGGGGGCAGGCGTTTAGCAGCATAACAGTTCAGCTACCAGTTGGGGCGCTCACATCCCATACTGGAGCACCTGGGTTCCTGTGCGATCACACTTCCCGCTAACCTGTACCCCGGGAAGAAGCAGCTGATGGCCCCACCATCCACGTGTGAGACCGGAACTGAGTTCCCAGCTGCTGGCCCTGCCCCAGCCTTTGTGGGCATCTAGTGATTGAATCAGCAGATAGGAGTCTGGCTCTCCCCACCCCCTGCCACTCCCTCCCACCCTCTCAAATAAATAAATAATTTTAGGAAGAAAACGTGGAGGAAGGGGAGAGAACAAGCGGAGCAGGGAGGCAGTGAGAGGGGCCAGGCAGGGAATGCTGTGGTTTTAAGGTGGGCGAGACTCCAGCGTGTTTGTTGAGCCCTGAGGAAGGAGCCAGGTAAGGGAGAGTTGGAATCTGAGAAGAGGCGGTGCCGATGGGCACAGGTGTGGTGGGGAGTGGCTGCACCCGCCTGGGGCCTGGAATGCGAGGACAGAGGAGGCATCTTTGCTGCTGGCCGCCCTGAGCCTTGTTTACCACATAACCATGGTTTGCGTTGAACAAAATTATCCTAAAAACTGTCAGGGGCCAACGTACTAAAAGGAAATGGACTTGAAATGATTTTTAGAAGATTTAGTTTATGTATGGATAAGGTAATTACCAGTTCTGTCATCCTGTTTTTAAGGGGAAGAGGGCTCTAAAGGACTTCTGTCACAGTACCGTCTGTGTTCTTGAAAGTCATGAGGCTAAATGACCTCAACAAGATCTGGAATTCCCACTTTCCTGAGTTGCCCAGCAGGCCACCAGCCCTGGCATAAACATTTCCTTTTATTAGAAGATCTATTTATCAGCCGGCACCGTGGCTCACTAGGCTAATCCTCCGCCTGCAGCACCTGGATTCTAGTCCTGGTTGCTCCTCTTCTAGTCCAGCTCTCTGCTGTGGCCCAGGAGTGCAGTGGAGGATGGCCAAGGTCCTTGGGCCCTGCATGGAAGGAAGGAGGAAGCACCTGGCTCCTGGCTTTGAATCGGCGCAGCGCACCGGCCACAACACGCCGGCCATGGCAGCCACTTGGGGGGTGAACCAATGGAAAAAGAAAGACCTTTCTCTCTCTCTCTCTCTCTCTCTCTCACTAACTCTGCCTGTCAAAAAACAAAAAACAAACAAACAAAAAACAACAAAAAAAAAACTATATCTACCTGAGAAGCAGAGTGACACAGGGCTGGGGAAAAGTCAATCTTCTGTCTCCTGGTTTATTCCCCCAAATGGGCACAACAGGCAGGTCTGGGCCAGGCCAAAGTCAGGAGCCAGGAACTGCACCTTGGGCCAACTTCTGCTTTCCCAGGCACCTTAGCAGGGAGCTGGGTGGGAAGTGGAGCAGCCAGGACTCAAGGGCACTCCAATAAGGACCATCGTAAGTGGAGGCCTATCCCACTACACTATAATACCAGCCCCAAAACATTTTATTTGTTGGTTTCTTTGCTCAGCCAAATGCCCAGCACTGGTGTGACTACTAGCTTTTCTCTGGCCAGAATCATCCAGGCCATGGGTCCCCTCACTGTCCCTCTGGTGGCCACTCTTCATGGGTGTCCCCACCCAGCTGATACTTGAGTCCTGGAGAGCTGCTGGGTAGGCATGCTGTCCCACCCGGCCTCTTGTCCCCTTGGGCTGGGCAGGGCAGGGCACCTGGCTTTCTTGGCTGGTGTGGTCCTTCTCAGCCCTCTCTTCTCCTGTTTGCCCTGGGGCTTCCGAGACAGACACCACTACTTTCTCTTCCCCACACAGGAGGGGTGAAGCTCGGCCTGGGGGACTTCATCTTCTACAGTGTGCTGGTGGGCAAGGCGGCAGCCACGGGCAGCGGAGACTGGAACACCACACTGGCCTGCTTTGTTGCCATCCTCATTGTGAGTGGGCTGGGGGGTGCTCCCTGGCTGCCCCCACAAGTGATGGGCCCCGGCATCTCCACAGGGTCACAGGATCCCTGAGGAGTTCTCAGATGCTGTCTTCCTTCTGAGGGGCAAAGACAATGAGGTGGGCTGAGCAGGCTACCACCAAGATCCGGAGTGCAGCCGAGGTCTGTGAGCGGTGTCGGGCAGCGAGCCACTCGCAGCACATTGAGAGCTGCAGGGTCAGCGCTGAGGGCTGCGAGCTTCCTGGGCACGCACACCCGGGTGCCCAGGGCTGTGGGCACTTTTGCTTTTGCCCCATGATAACTCGTGAGGCTCCTGTGATGAGTGAGATCAGTGAAAAAGGAAGTTGCTGAAGGGCCTTGCCAGTGGCCACACAGCAAGTGAGGGAGGAGCTGTGGTTGGGCCCCAGGTCTCTGACTCCCAAGCTGTGTGTTTTCCCCTCCTCCAGGCACCAGAACACCTCAGGGCAGGGGAGGATAGACCAGCCCCACGCCTGCTTCCGAGCGACAGGTCACATGGCACTTGGGTTCCCTCCATGTCAGCCACTGACAGCCTCGCTGTTTATTTCAGAGGAGCCCTGCTGGTGCCTGGGTAGCCAGCCCGTGTGGCAGCAGGGTCTGGGAGAACAGCACCCACCCAGGCCTCAGGGGGCAGCTTTCTGGTCCTTCCATTCAGAGCAGGGGGATCTATCGGATGTGAGACTCTCAGGAAATGGTGGGGCATCCTGCTGGTCTGGGTCCAAACACCTAGACAAGGCCATCGCCAGCTGTTCCATGTCCATTCCAGGGGTCACACCCTTGCCCATTCCCTGTCTCTTGCAGGGCTTGTGTCTGACCCTCCTGCTCCTCGCTGTGTTCAAGAAGGCGCTGCCAGCACTCCCCATCTCCATCACGTTTGGGCTCATCTTCTACTTCTCCACCGACAACCTGGTGCGCCCGTTCATGGACACCCTGGCCTCCCATCAGCTCTACATCTGACGGGAGGACACCACAGGATGCAGCTGTAGAGTTTCGACACTCTAGTGCCATATATTTTTAAGACTTTACTTTCCTTAAATAAATAAAAGAATTAAAAAAAAAAGTATTGTGTTCACTTTGTGAAGAGGAAGCAGGACCTGCTCTCTGGTGCTGGCTATTTGCCTCCACTCTGGCTCACCCCATTACGAGCAGGAAACCAGCAGGTGTACCCATAGGACCCATGCAGGGGAGTGGAGAAGGACGCCCGGGAATATGGGTGAATGTCGGTGTGCATCTGCAGGATCAGGAATGCACACTCAGGAAAGGTACCAGAAGCCTGGTCACTGTAGCTGGGGAAGAAAAGCTGCCTCCTGGAAGGCACCTTCCCAGCGCTCTGGCTGTGGTGTCACCATGACTTTGTTACCTTTAGAAACCCAGTCCCAAGCCGGCGCCGTGGCTCAATAGGCTAATCCTCCGCCTTGTGGTGCTGGCACACGGGGTTCTAGTCCCGGTTGGGGCACCGGATTCTGTCCCGGTTGCCCCTCTTCCAGGCCAGCTCTCTGCTGTGGCCAGGGAGTGCAGTGGAGGATGGCCCAAGTACTTGGGCCCTGCACCCCATGGGAGACCAGGAGAAGCACCTGGCTCCTGGCTTTGGATCAGCGTGATACGCTGGCTGCGGCGGCCATTGGAGGGCAAAAGGAAGACCTTTCTCTCTGTCTCTCTCACTGTCCACTCAGCCTGTCAAAAAAAATAAAAAATTTAAAAAAAAGAAACCCAGTCCCGTGTCATTGCTGCAGTGGCTGCCGGGAACCAGCTCCAGTGTCAATAAATAGATGAATTCTGCTGGGATGCTGGTGTGTGGGTCCCCTGGGTCTCACTGGTGTCGCTGGGATGATGGGTGCTGCTTGTGGGGCTGGGGAGGATCCACCCAATGAGGAAAGAGAAGCATACCTGTTTCCCCTCTGCGCCAGTTTCTTGAACAAGGAAATTTCCTAAGGGACAGGAATTTGGCATAGTGGTTAAGATGCCTCTTTGGGACACCTGCGTCCCACATCAGAATGCCTGAGTTTGAGTCTGAGTTCTGCTTCAGATTCCAACTTCTTGCTGATGCACCCCCTGGGAGGCAACAGATGACGTCCGGAAAAAGTTGGGTCCCTGCTGCCTCTGTGGGAGACTTTGATTGAGTTGCCAACCCCAGCAGTTTGCAGGCATTTGGGGAGTAAAGCAGTGTCAGCTGTGTTGGCCTCTCCCCAGCCCACCCCTGCCTTTCAGATAAAAGCTTAAAAAAAGTTTTCCTAAGTGAGGCAGTGATGTCTGATGGATGCCCCAGTGCTGGTAGGTGCCTGGCCATAGGCATGCCCTGTCCCAGACACTAAGGCAGTTACCAGAGCCTTGGGTGGTCCCCTTTGGCAAGTCTGCACCGAGGTGACCAGGTGAGAGCCGTGCTTCTCCTGCTGTTGCTTTGGGCACAGTGGTGCGGGAGCAGACAGGTCGGCTTGGCTTTTTCTCGATGCCAGGCACAGGTTGTAGAGAGAATCTCAGAAGTGGCCCTGGATGGGGACTTGAGCCTACTGAAGCCGTGCAGAGCAGGCCACTGTCTTGCTGGGCAGCAGGTTCATGGACAGCTGGGAAAAGGCAGGTGTGTATTTGGAATTGAAACTGGTAGCCCTGTCTCCTCACTCCGGAAGTAATGTGAGTGCTGTGAAACTGGCTACTTGCTGTGAGAGAACTAGAATTATGTGTCTTCATGTTTGACAGGAGCCTTCTTCCCCCTGGGCTGTCTGTACTACAGCAGAGGAAAGAACTGAGAAGGGGGCCGGCGCCGCGGCTCACTAGGCTAATCCTCCGCCTTGCGGCTCCAGCACACCGGGTTCTAGTCCCGGTCGGGGCACCGGATTCTGTCCCGGTTGCCCCTCTTCCAGGCCAGCTCTCTGCTGTGGCCAGGGAGTGCAGTGGAGGATGGCCCAAGTGCTTGGGCCCTGCACCCACATGGGAGACCAGGAGAAGTACCTGGCTCCTGCCTTCAGATCAGCGCGGTGCACCGGCCGCGGCGACCATTGGAGGGTGAACCAACGGCAAAGGAAGACCTTTCTCTCTCTCTCTCTCTCACTGTCCACTCTGCCTGTCCAAAAAAAAAAAAAAAAAAAAAAAAAAAAAATGAGAAGGGAGCATTGAGGAGGCCACTGTCCAGAATGGGGATGGCATTGCCCTGGCACTGGGATCCGGCTGATGGCTAACACAGGTCAGAGACACAGATGGGGAGACCTCACGGTGGGAGAGCCCAAAGCAGAGAACACTGAGATGAGATGGTTCCTGATGGTAAAAACTCCCAGGAGCTTAAGGAGGCAGGAAAAAAGCCATTGGCTAGCACTGTGGCACAGCACGTCAAGTTGCATCCCATAGGAGTGCAGGTTCAAGTCCCAGTTGCTCTGCTTCCAATTCAGTTCCCTACTAATGTGTTTGGGAAGGTGGTGGAAGATGGCCCAAGGCCTTGGGCCCCTGCCACCAATGTAGGAGACCAGGATAGCGTTCTAGGCTCCTAACATTAGCCTCGCCCAGCCCTGGCTGTTGCTGCCATTTGGGAATGAATCAACGGATGGCAGCTCACTCGCTCTCACTCTGCCTTTCAAATAACATGGAAGTAAAACTTTCCAAAGTTAGCAATTACAGCAATGTTGATCTTAAAAAGAGCAGTATTAGGATGGGGTTTCCAAAGATGAATTGGATGCATGTTTCGATTTGTTAACCTTCCAAAAGTCTTTGTTCAAGGCCTGGGGATGTAGGAGATAGGATTAACAGTGAGAGAAGGACCCCATGAGTGTTAGGTGAAATATTAAGGCTGGGGCTTGCAAAAAGTTCATGGAAAATGTGGAGTATAAGAAAGCTGGGCTGGCGCCGCGGCTCACTTGGCTAATCCTCCACCTGCGGCACTGGCACCCCAGGTTCTAGTCCCAGTTGGGGCAATGGATTCTGTCCCAGTTGGTCCTCTTCTAGTCCAGCTCTCTGCTGTGGCCTGGGAGGGCAGTGGAGGATGGCCCCAGTGCTTGGACCCTGCACCTGCATGGGAGACCAGGAGGAAGCTCCTGGCTCCTGGCTTTGGATTGGCACAGCGCACTGGCTGTAGCAGCCATTTGGGGGGTGAAACAGTGGAAAAAAGGAAGACCTTTCTCTCTCTCTCTATCTCTAATTTTGCCTGTCAAAAAAAAAAAAAAAAAAAAAGCTGCATGGCTCTAAGACACACTTTGCAGCAAAATAAACATCTTTTAATTCTGTTTTCCCACAAACTTTCTGAAGTCCCCTTGTACCTGTGGGAAGAAGAAGGAAAAGAACCATTGGAGGTCCCCAAGGAGTCAGGAGACCAGATCCCAGAAACTAAGAGGGAAAGAGAAACAATTGAGAGGATTTTGAAAAATACAAGTCAAGCATGCTGAAAAAAACATGCCGGGTAGGAGAGCACCTCTGTCTGCACAGGACTGCTCAGCCAGTCCCTGTATGTGTGCTTACAGAAATGAAACCCGAGAGTGCTGAGGTCCTATTTGTGTGACCCCAGTTCCATTGCTTCGTCCCCTGTCCTGAAGTCAGTTTGTCTCTCCCACCCCCAGTTCATTTTGCATGTTGGCATGTATTTTTTTAACTTTAAAAAATGCTGTATATGTCAGACAGCTTTTTGTATCATACACTGGATGCACTCACAGATAAAAATGCAGCCCTGGTCAGCTCTATTCACTATTGTGTGGCGTTCCATTTTAGGATACGTGGCTAATGCATTGTGCTGTAGATGGACCCTGAAGGTTTTGCACTGCTTTTGTGTCACAACTCTGCTGCCTGTGGCTTTGCTGGGTTTGGGGGAATAGAAGTCTCCTCATTGACTGCATGTTCCCTCTTGTTCCTTAAGCACTTGTAGCCACTTAGACTCCTGTCAGCAATTTGTGAGTCTCCCCTTCCCCAGACTCTTCCACACTTGGTATATCCAGATTTGCTCTTTGGATGGGCGTGAGTTTGCATTTTAGTTCACAGTGAGGTTAAGCCTCTTTTCCTACCTGTATCAGCCGTACATGTTCCCTTGTCTATTTCCTTTGCTCACGGTTTCATTGTAATGTGAATGTTTAGGCCTCTTAAAATGGTTTCTGGGAAGATGGCAATTGCTGGTTAATTGCAAATACCGCAGAGGTAACAATGTTGAGTGTGGCTGTTAGAGGGTGGAATACAACAAGGGAGCTTAGGAAGAAGATCAGAGCAGCGCTATGGAGCAGAGCCCAGTTCAGCTCCAGACACATTTCATGAATGCCTTGATGCAGAGTTCGGTTAAGAGGGCCGGCGCTGTGGCATGGCATTAATGCCTGCAATGCTGCCGCCCCATTTGGGCACTGGTTCAAGACCCAGCTGCTCTCCTTCAATCCAGCTCATTGCTATTGCGCTAGGAAAAGCATCAGAGGATAGCTCAAGTACTTGAGCCCTGCACCCATGTGTGAGACATGGATGAAGCTTCTGGCTTTGGCTTGGCGCAGCCCCTGCTGTTGCTGCCATTTGGGGAGTGAGCCAGTGGATGAAAGATCTCTCTCTATCTCCTTTTCTCTCTGTAACTCTGCCTTTCAAGTAAATGAATAAATCTTTAAAAAAAATCACTGCAAGAGAACGGAGGCAAGAAAAATAGAAATCCCAGCTCATCCCGGTGCTATCTGCCAATGGCTGGGACACTTGACAAAGTAAAAAAGACCAAAAATACTGAAACCCAATCAGGGATGAAAGAAAATACCTACTTTAATGCCAACATGGGTATTTATGAGGTGCAAAGAGAGTTCTACTCAGAGGCTATCCTCAAAGAACTAATTCAAAGACCTTCTATTCTCAAAGATCTAATTTGAAATGAGAACGCTCCCCTGTTAAGTATACAGCTTGATGCACTTTGACACGTGTGTTTTCCCACAGAACCATCACAGCAAACAAATACTGAAATCCCTCTGACCCCAAAGAGTTCCTTTGTGTCCCTTAGCAGTCAGTCCTCAGCCACCTCCAGCAATGGGCAACTGCCAGTGTGTTTGCTGTCACCATGGATTCTTTTTTACAATTTTACTTAAATAGTATCACAGTGTATGGTTGGCCAGAAAAATGACACTTCAAAGA